GTGTGTGTGTGTGTGTGTGTGTGTGTGTGTGTGCTCCTGAGGCTGATGGGGCGATGGTGGAGTGATCCCACTGAGGGTCCCTGAAAACAGGAGTGGGCTCTACCCACTTTCCTTGACGACACAGCAACACAAGGCCAGCGGATGCTGCCAACTGAGGTCAATATCCTCCTGCTCCCTTGCCCTCAGCACCTGCATGTCCCTCAAGGGCACGGCACACCCAGTCCTTCCTGGATGCTGGTGCCACCCGTGAAAGCTGACACAAAGGGCCCCACTCTAATTCAAGCAGGGGTGTTGAGTTCCCTGATGAAACAAACAAACAAACAAATCAGACTTCCAGCAGGTGATCTGCAAAGGAAAACCAAATGGCAGAAGACAGAGCAGCCTTCATTAAGAACAAAGGCCTGCCAACTGTTCTGTGGAGAAATGGTTCCAAGTGCAAACAAGGCCAGGGGATGGTGGACACCGATCCCCACTCCAACGCAAGCTCCAAGGAGGAGCTCCGAGGAGCTGCACATTTCCTAAACGTTCTCACTGAAGTGGTTTTGTTCTCACTCTGCCTCTGAGTGCTCTGGGACAAGACCAGCTGCCTACAAGCACTCACCACTGAATGGTGAACCCCCAGGTGCCACGGAAGGACGAGCTCCAAGGGGTCTCCAACAGCTGGGTTTGGGAGATCAGAAATAGACCCTCGTCAAGAAGAAGAAAGAAAAAAGGTAATTTTCCAACCATTTGACACCAACTTGAACAGGCACACAATACTGTAACTAGAAAGAACCAGTACTGCACTTTGGTACAAGACCCGTGTTCTGGGTTTCCTGCCAGCCACTCCACTCTCCACCTCTGTCTCCACTCCATGCTGTGCACCGTTTTTGTAAGCCCACTATGCCAATTTATTTTTATACATGTTGCTGACTTCCGCTGACACAAAAAAGATATAATTAGACTATAAAGTAAGCAGAGTTAACATATCCTAATGGGTTCATTTATGACGACCGACCCAACAAACTTTTACATTCAATTATTGAGCTAACACATTGTAATTACCAATGTAAACAGGAACAAATCCACAATTTTGATGGCTGATTCTCTGATTAGTGGGTGACCTCCACACTTGATCCGTGACGTCTGGACTATGGCTGACACCCTTATGATGCAGGGAGGACCCACAGTAAGCTTTCCAGACAACGCTCGCACCCAGCGGGACAATGTGGTTCACTCATCGTACGGAAATGCAGTGGAATCGGGCCGAAAGACACTTCCGGGAACACAGCGGTGCGTGTGGTTTACGCACAGATGTGCACTCTGCAGCTCAGGTGTGTGAGCACAGCATTAAGGTGGGGCCGTTATATGAAAAAATGACAGTCAGAACTAGGTTCTCTTTCAAGCCACCACAGGAGTGGGATGGAGGCGCCATCTCAGCAAGCCAAGGTGGCAGTGACCTGCTGCTGCTGCTACAGCAGAAGGACCCACGTGGTGGCTTTAACAAACAGAAATGTACTTTCTCACCAAACCAACAACAAACGTGTTGCCATCAAGTCGTTTCTGGTTGTGTGCGTGTCCTTACAACAGCATCTGTACAGCACGCTGACTGGGGGCGGGGTGGGGGCACGTGTGCCACATACGAAAGGTCCGGTTTTGTGACAGTTTAAAGGCAGAGGAACGTTGTTTAAATCTCCCACTGGAGGGATGAACTGTTCAAATGACCCCTGTGATTCCACAGATTGATGACTGTTGTCAACACTCCTCCCTGCTCTCACCGCTGCTTACTGACACTGGGGAGGAAAAGACACGGCTCCGAGGGCAGTCCATCAGCACTGCCCATCAGGGCTGGCCGTGCTGCACGCCACCTGCTTTACTCCCTCATGGGGGCGTCAGAGGCGATCCCCTTCTGAGGCCAGAGGAGAACATGACCAGCGCCCACACGCATTTCCATGAGTGACACACACACAGCCACGGGAGGGACTCGCTATGCAGAGACGGAACATTCACTGAAGGGAAAAAGGGATGACTTTGAAAAACAGTTCATTCTCCTAGCTATAGGGATACATCTTGGAGGAAAACAGGCCAAATGTCGTAGCATATAATAACATTGTAAGTCTAAAGTTCAAGAAAATATTACCAAGGTAAGGAAAGTGTGTTTACTTGATGGGGAAACAGGGTTGAAGGTGAAGAAGAGAGAGTTCTTTTAATTCAAAAGCACAATAGTAACAACCAAAAAACCCCAAGCAGCATTGAACTTGAGATGTTTAAAAGACCATTACACATTTTAAATGTTTTAAAATGTCCTATGTTTAAAAATAATTCCCATATTTTAAACATGTGTATATTATGTGTATGTATGAAGATTCTATGTATTATTTTGTCTATGCTATTAATATATTCCACTTATTTATTTTATGTACATGTGCACACTTATTTAGTTATGTTTTATACACAAACAGAAATTGCAAACATGGGGATAAAAAAGGGGAAGAAGACAATGGTTTTCTACAATGTCAAAAGCATTTCCATTTTTTCATGGATAACAGTGCTTTCCATTCTAAATTGTTCTTCTGTATTAATTTTTCTTACATAAACCTTTAAAAACATGTACAATATCAATGTACAAAATCAAATGGTCCCAATCCAAGATTGAGAAATGAGAGCTATAACATGTCATGCCGATACTGCTTAAAGTGAACTGTTTAGAAAGGAGGAGGAGGAGCCTTAATTGCAGGCAGACACCCACATCATGTACGATACAACTGAATGTGTCTCGCTATGTCACAAGATTTCGGGAAAACATAAAAGGACCTTCTGTTAAGTAATTGTGGATGACATCCAGCCTGTGTTAGTCTGGGTAGACTAGAGAAACAAATCCATGGACACACATATGTATATAAGAAAGAGGTTTACATACACGAGCAATTGAACATGGAGAAAACATCCAGCCCAGTCGAGATCAAGTCCATAAGTCCGATATTAGCCCATATGTCCGATACCATTCTATGAAGTCCTCTTCAGGCTCACGAAGCACATGCAGTGAAGCCAAATGCAGGATGGTCACAAGCCAGTGGGTAGAAAGCCTTTGGGTCCAGTGGCGTCGTAAGCATCTCAGTGCTGGCAGGGGTCTCTCTGGGGCTTCTCCAGTTTCCAAGGTCTGGTTGCAACCATGTGGCTTGTCTTCTGCAATGTCTCCCAGGGAGTAGCAGAGAGAGGGGTGTCTTCCGCCTCCAGAGGAAGTACCAGATTTCCCAGAGTTCTCAGGAGAAGGCCATGCCCACACAAAAGTCTCATTGGCTATCTCCAGATTGACAGCCTAGA